CATGGTAGCTCTACACCCACACCCAGAGTTAAAACTACGTGATGAGATCCTTTGGCAAGATCGAAATGCGGATCGTAGTTTGTTGTACTCACCCTCAAGATAACCATTTCTAATGTTGAAGCGACTACATACAGTAGTTGACAAAGATTTACTCATATTTACGCTACAAAAGGCATTACAATGTCAATATTTACACGACCACCTTCGTTGATACGCCTTTAAAAGCTTCAATAGAGGTTACATGAGTTACAGTTTCTGGAAAATATTGTCTGTTTGGGTAGGTGTCACGTAAGACAGTTTTACATAACACTGCAAACTGCAGAACGCGTTGGATCAGGTTGTATAGTTTTCAATTTGTTACCAGCGAATGGCAGATACGCTTTGATCTTCTGAAGAAAAGTAACATAATCAGCAATCGGCAACGGCTTATCATGCTGTTCGGCTAATTCAGTTTTAAGTAATAGATACATTGATTCACGACTAATCATACACATTTCGTATAATTGAAGAAGACACTGACCATCCATTGCTTTACATAAATTGAGTAAAGTATCTTTCAGCCCGATTGAAATAAAAAATGATTTAACATGATCATTAGTCCACTGATTGATACAGTGTGGTAACTCTCTAGAAAAATCAATAAACAATTTTTTTTTGAATTCTTCATAGTAAATAGTAATAAAACTTCATTTTTCTGTCCTCTAATTATAAGACGATCAGTAGAACTTACACGGTTGAATGATGTTCGACCGATGATGAAATCTCTTCAACTGGTTGAGTAGTGATTGCAGAGTTATTTTTCTGATCTTTTTCTTTCATATTTGCTGCCATTTGATTTTTTTTTTGTTGACAGTGTTGAGAGATTTCCTTTTTCAATTTTTCATAAGATATATTGATGTTATTTTGATTTTTCGCAAAATCAACATATTTTTTACCAGCAACAAGAAGACCAAGCCATCCATCAGGCTTATAATGAACTTTCATTTTTAATGGTATAATGTTACATTGTTGTTCATGTGCATAATGAGCTTCCAATCGACAATATGAACTTTGTTGATATTTTTGAGACATACAAATAAGAACAAAAGTTGAATTTTCAATAGCATTAGCCATGCCACTCATTGTTGTTCCATGCAGATTTTCTCGATCAATCCAAACACGAAATTTATCTTTGATAAGTTTTTCATAAATTTGATGACATACTTGGCTATCACTATGTGAATAACTGATCATAATGTCGTATTCATGTGAATTTGAACTAGTAGGTTTAGCACCAGCCTCTTTTTCTAATTTCCAAAGAAGACCTTGAGCAACACTTTCCAAACTTGATTCATCAGTATTGGTATTACTGGATAAATTTCTAATATAAGTCATAAATTGCTGATTTTGTTGGAGATAAGAAGAAGCATTATCATTGATAGAAAGAAACGTAAGAACTTCAAGAACTGTTTTGTGTGCTTTCACAGGAACAAATTTGGTTTCCGTCACAATTTGAACAAGTTTAGGAAGGGCTCCCTGTTTGATCAGATCATCTCTCACTTGATCATGTTGAACCCACTCTAAAACAATTTCAAAGTACAGGGTTAGAAAGAATATTTTTCAAGGGAGTAACGGTATAATTTCAAATAGAAGATATGATGAATTTTATACCAGATGAAAGCCCGTGGAAAATGGAATTTAGTGATGCTAAATAGTAAGACTTTGAAGAACTTTCATATATCAAACTCTCAAAAGTTACAACTTTTCACCTATCTAAGAGGCATTGCAAGTAAGCCACGCCCGATTTTGCTCAATTCAAAATTACAAATTTTTTCCTTATATTTTCGAGTAGTACTTCGAAGATAACGTCTAGGAAGAACATTTTGAATCAGACTGATATCACTGATTCGGAGAAAGTTTATATCAAAGACAATTACTTTACTATTGTCCTGGATTTACTTTACTATTCTCCTGGAAATTATGGCAATTCCTATTGAAAAATTGTCTAGAAGAAGCTTTGTACCGCGGTCAGGAAAAATCGTGTAAGGCTAAAACGTAGGATATATGACTAAAAAAAATGTGCTCTACAGGATACGATTGACTTTAAACAGATTTGAGCAAACTATATAAAAGTCGGGTGTGGCTTACGTGCAATGTCTCCTAAGACAATAGAAGACTAGTTTATCGAGTAATGTTCGAATTAAATGTGTTACAAAATAGTTTATTTTCTCATTCTTTAATTAATACAATCAATAATCTGTGTGACGACCATTAGCGTTGTTTACTGCACGAAATGGAAATGGATACGAACAAAGAAGAGTTTCAAATAATTCAATATCTTCTTCCATGCTAGTTAAGACATTTGCAACGTGCATTTTAAGTGTCTTCATGATATCGATTATATCCAGTTTCCGATAACATTTTTTTTTCAATTTCATCTTTGATTATTGATCCGATATGTTCTGCCACATTAAGATCAGGTGAATTTCCTGGCCAGATATCATTACCCCAAAATTTAACATCATTGTCTTGAAGCAAATGTTGGGTTTTATTTGCTCGCATACATGGTGCTTTATCATGAACAAATATAACTTCATCAGGGTCAATAACATTATCTTCATTTTTTAAGAAGGGAAATACATTTTGAGTCAATATTATATCACGAAAGTATTGATCAGTCCAAGACTCATCTTTATCTTTGATAATCCAAAGTAATCTTTTGCAAGTAAACATGAAAACTCCAATACATGATTGATTTTTTACCATTTCATGATATCTTTCATCTTCTTCAACGTTTTCAATGCTTCTCGTCCAAATTCGGTCATTTTGATAATTTGACCTACGGACAATCCAGACCTAAAATTCATCAGATGGTGCTAGATGAAGAAAATCTTCTACAATCCAATCTTTTAACCCGTTACACAGCCATAATCGATCTGATATATGAGTTTCAGATTTTAACGCTTTTGGAATAACGTGAAATGGTTTTTATCCTTCTCTGTGACGATAATTATTAACTGTTCTTTGAGTGACATATTCTTTTTGCTTTTCTGCAATCTCCTTCCTCACAACAGAACTGCTTCTTCTTTGTTGATCACTTGCTTTACGAATGATATCTTGACCAGCTTCTGATAGTTTAAGTTTAGTACCAACATTTGAATAATCAGCAAAGCATTGGCCATATGATTTTTTCCACCAATTTGAGACAAATCGAGTTGTGCGGTGAATTTTGTCCGCCATCCATTGCCTATTTATAAATGTTGCACCAGCATCGCGTGCTTCACGAAAAGCAATGCATTTTATTCTATCAACCATTCTTTCTTGTTCAGTATCATAAGTGCCAGCGATTTCAGATAATGAAACTACGTTGATTTAACAACAGGATAATTTTTATTATGAAATATAGCGAAGAGAAAACTACCTGTTATATCACGCCGCAAATCACTGAAATTTCTCTCCGCTATAACTTTCAGACAGAACGAGAATGAAAAAATCTTTGAAAAAACTAGTATCACGTGGAGTAAACAACAGAACACAGAAGAATCATCTCATTCTCTGAGTCATAGTTATATCTCATAATCGTTAGCAGTTTTCTTTCGTTTTTTCGTAGAAAAATCTTCGTTTTCAATGCCTTAAAACTCAGTAAAAATGAGCTTTAATGTTTTATTTAAAGAAAACTTCATTGTTTTTGAGAGTTTGATATATGAGAATTCTTCAAAGTCTTACTATTTAGCATCACTAAATCCCATTTTTCACGGGCTTTTATCTGGTATAAAATAGGGGTGAGAAGTTACCGTTCCCACCCCGTTCCCCGGGAACGGTAACGGTAACGGTTTCTATGGAAAAAGTTACCAGTTCCCAAGTAACTGGTAACTGTCCCGTTACCAGTTACCTGGTAACTGATAACTGCTCCGTTACCAGTTACTTGAGAACTGGTAACTTTTTCCATAGAAACCGTTACCGTTACCGTTCCCTGGGAACGGGCGACAGGCTACCCTTTGTCAAGGTCAAAAAAACATCCATTCATATTTGTGGAGGCCTTTTCTCTCTTATGGTAAGTACAACACATGGTCATGTTCGGGCCGATCCTAGGGTTATCGAGGATGCTCTATCGATTGATGGGTATATGCAGGGTTCCCCATCCATTCCAACATCCCACAACCGACACCCTCAAAAAACATCCTGGGTCAAAGGTCAAAAAAACATCCCTGAGCATCCTCGATAACCGTAGGATCGGCCCAAACATGACTATGTGTTTCCCTTACCATAAGGGAGAAAAGGTCTCCTGAAATTCCAATGGATGTTTTTTTGACCTTTGACCCCGGATGTTTTTTGAGAGTGTCGGGTGTGGGATGTTGGGATGGATGGGGACCCATACATATACCCATCAATCGATAGAACGTCCTCGATAACCCTAGGATTGGCCCGAACACGACCACGTATTGTCCGTACAATAATGGAGGAAAGGCCTCCTCAAACATGTGGATCCAATAGTACCCTTTTTTGTATGCCCGTTACCCCGTTACCCGGGAACTGGTAACGGGCGATTACCGTTCCCGGGAACGGGGAGGTGAATCCGTTACCAGTTACCGGGAACGGTAACGGTAACTTCCCACCCCTTGTATAAAATTCATCATATCTTCTATTTGAAATTATACGGTTACCTTCCTTGAAAAATATTTTTTTCAACCCTGTAGTATCTAACGGGTGCGGCAGGATAAATGGCGGTCTCAGTATTTTGACTATAGCTTTTTTTCTTTTTGATCTTTAGAGCTGATTGTTTTGCCAAAAGATGCGCCGTGAAATTCTCTACAAAATCATAATTGAACTTATTTCTGTAGAAAGTTAAGGACAAAAACTAAATGAATATTATTCAAAACATAAAAGGTATCCAACTTTCAAAGCTAATGGATGTTCTACGATTGACTAGCATTCGTATCTCTGTTTTTATCTTTCTCTAGCATACATACATTAAAAGCAAAGTATACTAGAAGATGCAGCGTGAAAAGCTCCACAAGTCACATTAAAAACCTTATTTTATATATGCCCTTTTTGTTTTCAAAATGATCAAAATTGTGTGCGACTAGTTTTCGACTCTGCGAACAACATCATTTTTTTGGTACATTACGAATTCATTTTTCTTATTTCATCTTTGCATCACCTAATATATTCTATTAAAAGAAAACTAAATATACCACAAGATGTAACGTGAGAAGCTCTACAATTTACAAAGAACAAGTCATTTTATATACATATATATATATAAAGAAGAATGTTTGTCTGTCTGTTTGTTTGTTTGTCTGTTCGCTTATAACTCAATCTCGGTAAAAGATAGCGTCACCAAATTTTCCACAATACTTCCCTAGTCTAGAGGAAGGTCTTAGAATGATTTTCGACTCAAAAGTTTCACCTGCGGGGGCGTTTCCCCCGCCTATTGTTGGATTTACTACAGTAAATGTCTTTTCCAGAGAATTTGTGCGTATGATTGTTTCTATCTGTCTATATATATAAAGAAGAAAGTTTGTCTGTCTGTTTGTCTGTTCTTCTTTCATTTGGACACGGTGCGAGCAAATCCAATGAAATTTTGCACAGAATACCCTTTCGACCAGGGGAAGGTCATAGGGAGGTTTTCGACCCAAAAATTTCACGTGAGGGGGATGTTTTCCCCTCCTATTATTGAATTTACTACAGTAAATGTCTTTTCCAGAGAATTGGTGCGTATGATTGTTTTCTCAATAATTCAAGAGCGAAAGTATATAAAAACATGTACTTTTTGCCATTGGTCACGTGACATTTTAGAATAATCGAAAGAAAACGAATAGAATGTATAAGATGAAGTGCAATCCTATGATTGAAAATATCTATCGAATAAAGAAAGTAAAAAGTGAAAGAAAATTCCATTACTTATAACTCATAATCTATATATATATAAAGACGTTGTGTCTGTCTGTCTATCTGTTTTTTATGCATTTAGACACCGCATGAGGTAGAGGTGCCAAGCTTTTCATGGCATATTCTTAGGTCTCGAGGAAGTTCGAGACGGGATCAGGATGACCGGCGAGAGGTTTGGGTTGAAATTTCGCACAGGTTATGATACATTCCAATTTTTCCCAATCTTGCAAAAACTTCACACCATTTGCTGCCATTGTTAGAATATTCATCTCTTAGTGTCACTATTTTTCCACTGGATGTTGGTATAAAGTATGGCAACATCCATGAGTTAAGAGAAAAATACTCATATTCCCACACTATTTGCTGAATTATCTGACTTAAAAATGAATATAAGTGTATGCACGGCGGGATATGTAGTAATAATAGATAAAAAGGTCTTAAGCAAGCCTTCTATACAACTTTTGTCGTTTTTTGACATGGTAAGTTTCCAGTATGGAGATTTCTAGAGCAACGCCGGGTACTACCGCTAGTTTAAAATAAGGAAGATTCTGTGCGATTAAAGAATGATCTTTTCTGCAGAATCGAAAACTGGTTGTACAGACTTTTAACCATTTAGAAACTAAAAGATGTGTGTATGAAATAAAGTTTTTAATGCAGCTTGTAGAGCTTTTCACGCTGCATCTTACGGTGTACTTTGTTTTTAAAATACACCTACTTGTTAATTAAAAAGGGTAAACAAATACCAAGCATCCATGAGACACTAGCGAACTTTGAAAGTTAGATACTTTTTATGTTTTGAATAATATTCATTTAGTTTTTGTCGTTAACTTTCTACAGAAATAAGTTCAGTAATGATTTTGTAGAGAATTTCACGGCGCATCTTTTGGCAAAACAATCAGCTCTAAAGATCAAAAAGAAAAAAAGTTATAGTCAAAATACTGAGACCGCCATTTATCCTGCAGCACCCGTTATGTTTGAGATAGTCGAATTATACCAATTTTATAGTACTTACTATTCAAACTCTCCAGTGCATCATCGAATCCCCATTTTATAGTTGGCTTATTAATGACTTCGGAAAGAAATTTAACATAGAATTTTGCAACTTCGCCTCGACTAGACATTTTTTGAATCTCTTCTCCTGTCATCAACTTTCCCAAACAACGAAGAGCATTTAATTGTGCTTTAAATTTTTGACTATCGGCCATTTTACATAATAGTGATGTTAAACCAAGATTCTCTTGCATATAACTAACTAAATCTGGATGGAAGGTAAAATTATACAAATCGTGAACAATGAATTCTCCGATGGAGTTCAAGAGATCTGCATTTTTAGGCTCTTCTATTATTTTCCGTAGGAATAATGACGATTGTTTAGTCAGTTGGCAATAATCCTGGTGAAACTCTTCGCTTGAAATATTAGCAGTTTCCCAATTAATAGGACGAACAAGAACATTATTCATGTGACGCATCATCTTACCCAATTTTTCAGAACAACTTAGGATGCAGTCAGGTTTGCAATTTGTTACCCATATAGTAAATGGCTGTAATAAGGTTCTAGGAATTTGAATAAATAGTTCTGGAGTAGGATCACCGTGTAACCAAAAGACATAATGCGGACATGTCTCGAGAAGCAGCGTTTGTTTTTCACTAAGATTTTGTGAAAAGTTGTGTTCCAATTTTGTAAGTGCATCAATTGTGTATTGAGAACATAAACATCCGATGACAGCAGAAACTAATGATGTGCTTTGAGTTGATTTATCAGTTTCTGCTTGACGTCCTTCGTAGTGTCTAAATGCGTTCAGTATAAGTTGAATTGAATTGAGAAATTTAGGATTATTCAGGTGTTGTCCACTTGTACTAATCTCATGGAGACAGCTGGCTAGCTCATCCATTAAATGGTTCTGAAATAGAAGTTCTTTAAACAGATGAAAGTTTGTATGATCAATGTGAGAACAAATATTAGCAAGCACTTTTGAAAAATCGACCAATAGATCATATTCAATATCTTTCGTTTGTCTTCGGCGTAATTGATCAAGAATTACACAATCACGTAGGTAAATCATTAGTTGGTGTCTGATGAGTTCAGATATGACAAGTTGTTCACATTTATTTGGAAGATTGATCAATGTAGAAGTGATCTCTTTAAGTTTTGAAATCTTCGAAGAAGCGATGTTTGTTGTGTTGAATTCGGAGACGAACACATCAAATTGAGTTTTGAGCTGTTCAGTGGTCATTGTCATCGCTTGCTGTTGAGTTGTCCCAGAATTTTGATTTTCTGTTGTGCTCATGTTCGATCGATTAGTAAATATCTCCAATGCCAAGATTGAATAGGACGATGAATAGTAAATAATTTTAGAACTTCATAACTTGGATTGAATCAAAATTGATCTAAAGATGACATTTATGCTGTGTACTCTCATTAAATTCACGGTTTATTGGAGGAAATTTTATTTGGGATACTAGAAATTTAAGGGTGTGGGTGTGGGTGTGGGTGTGGGAGTGGGTGTGGGTGTGGATGTCGGTGTGGGTGTGGG